TATTTTTAATTGACAAAAAATTAAAAGGTATTTAAAGACAAATTCAATGTATAAAAAAAAATTTGAAATTATTAAAAATGATTGATATGATGAATATTCTAAAAAAATATTGCATGATATGTTTGAAAATTCGCGGAAATCAAAACAAGAGGGATACTTGCATAGTTCATCATATCCATTATATTTCTCGCTAAAATCTTCATCTCGTGTCCCATTTACAATTTTCCACGGTTTCTGAAAATAGGATCTCGGAAATCGAGGCACACACCGTTGCTCATTAAAGCTGATGCACCCAGGCTATTCCTTGCACGTGACGTCGCTGCAAGTATTATTTGGGTCGCGTGCGATCGTCGTCGCAACCCGATCACTTTTCCACGAGTAATTTTCTGGTCACGTCATTCGTTTCTAAGAGCGTCATCGCCACGTGATACCGGCTTGGATATTTTATGGAAATAAGCGAAGGAGGAGGACACTTCGGGTTTTCAAACGAATCAGAATCAACGGAAAGTCATCTCAGTCTTACCAGGATATGCGCGAAAGCGTCCTCTTTTTGCTGAACTTAAAATATTCTGTGTTACGTCGAAATACGATACCTAGTTTTACATAAAGAACGTAGCCACAGATACAACTTTCTAATTATTCATCTCGATAATCATAGATTAAGCTTTAAAAATCAATTAATTGCTATAAAGATAATAATAAAGATGAAGATCTATAATAATAAATAATTGAAGCAATATTCTGTTGATCGCTTAAAATAAAATATACAAGTTTTATCCAGACAACTTATTATTAATATAGAAAAAAAAAGGTATTTAAAAAACACAAGAAATTATAAGTATATTCCAGTCTTTAATATTTAAAAACCTGTACTTTAATTTAAAACATTTCTGTATTGATTTTATCTTCGATATTTTTATCATTCTTATTCTCTTCTCATATTTAATTTTCTTTATATAGTTATGAAAATTATATCGCGATAGCGGATGCTTAGTTTTTCTTTACAAATTCGAACAATAAAAATAGGAAATATTCTACAGAATTAAATTCATATCGAGGAAGAAAAAGTTACTTTTTCATTTTAATATCTTATTTGTTAATAGTATTTGTTAGTTTTTTCACGATGACAACCGGAAGACGGCTCCAAAATCGGAATATACGAGAAATCGCGGGATATTTAGGTCATCGCGATGTAGAGAAAGGTTTTCCGTGTTGTCGAATCAGCGATGATGCAACGAAATGCCGCGACGACGTGCGTTAGTCACATCACGAAAACGACGATTGTGACAGCGATCGCGTGAAATCGGACATCGGAAATATCGAGTACGCCAAATTCTTATCGGAAATAGTCATTGACGCGTATTCGAACTTTGGAAAGAACGTGTCTTTAAATTTTTTTGTTATCTAATCTTATACACTTGAAATCCTCGTCGTCAATATTTTCACTCTTTGTCTGGAATCTGAGTCTTCGAACTTCACTGCAGATTTTCATATTGCTTGAAGTGTATAAAAATCTTACATACTTGAAAAAAGTTTTACATACTCGTGAGTTTTAGCAAAGAGTTTTTACTCAAGTTGTATTTTCCCATATTTAACAGATTTAAATTTATTTATCAGAGTTCACAATCACATAAAATCGACTGTGCTTTTAAAGATCCATTGTTGGCGGGCGGTTAAGTGCTGATAATATTCAACATAAATAATTATTTCTAATTGTAAAAATTCGCCGCATTTGTATCATCTTAGCACCGAGATACGTGTTTTCTGATCAACGTCATACGTATAATTCATGCTTTTTACAATAGCGAGACTAGCTGAGAACATTAAGAAAAAAAAACCATTGCCATTAGATTAAGCGTGCCATTAAACTTTCTTTTTTCAATGTAAATAATTTTGCATCTACTCAAGTTCTAATAATATTCAATATGCATTGTAATTATCTCTAAATTATTGCACAATCCGCCGTATTTGTATTATCATCGTCGTATTTATAACCCATCCTTTTTATAGTACCTATAAGCGATAAGCGAGGCTGACTACTAACTGACGTGACGTTTCTGACACGTGCTTCCAATATACCTATATAGGTCACTTTGCGCTAATTGTAAATACCATTTTCGTGCCAAGGTTCCAAGTAACAATGGTCGATAATTAATTTTATTACATCTGTGTGATACGTGTTATAAGCAAATTTAATTTTCATTATTAAAAAGAAATAATATATATTTTTGTTCCAACAAATCTGGGACGTCTCAGTCTGATGCGCTTTTTTATTACAAAGCGGATGTTGCTCGCAATAATGTCTTCCAACTGGTACGATATTTCATGAGTTTATTCAGTTAGGAATCTGTCTTGGTAAATTTCTCCTCTTTCTTTCGTGTTGTAATCTTCAAGCTCTTACTAAATCAAGAGACTTGGTCAGGAAGTAGCTCGGAAGCGTGACTTCTAGAGGTATCTTCTCGAGATATTACGATGATTATACGGGTTTAAATTAGAAAGGAACGTCTGTCTCTCTCTCTTCTCCCCTCCTCTCTCTCTCTCTCTCTTTCTCTATCTATCTGTTCATCTATCTGTATACCTTCCTTTCTTTCTTTTTATAACAATATATATAATTCATGACAATTAAGAGAAAACAATGTGATAATTCATGTGGATGAAGAGTGATTTATTATTCCGTTTTTATTATTCCGCCCAACAATTTCATAAATTATTCCCTCCAAAAGCTTTAAGAATTTCAAAAGCTATTTTAAGAATTTCGAAAAAAATTTGTGATTTATTTTAGCTATACTACATACATTATTGATTTCTAAACTTGTGTCTGCGCGAATAACTATGACGTACAAAAGAATTATCGTGTTCGCCGAAATGAACGGAGGTACATCGCGTTATCCCAAGAAAGACTAGCGGTTAATCTTTACGCTTTTATCTGCCCTTATAGAATACCCGAATTGCATAATTCTCTCTCTCTCTCTCTCTCTCTCTCTCTCTCTCTCTCCCTGTCTCTCCCCCTCCTCTTTCTATCTTTCTTGCTCATTTATCACGTATCAGGATTATAAAAAATGAATCATGTCGCTATAATTATAATAGCGTGCCTAACTCACTTTACATCGTCAAATTATGTAAAGCACCGTCTGTCTAGTAACATTGATCTGCACTAGTTTATCGACGCATTCGCGAATAGGATAATCGAAGACGTCTTTGCATCGGTACAGTCATAAATTCTTCTTTTTTACATGATTTACATGATGAAAAAGGGAGAGATCAGGGCTTCGAGTGCACGCACTCGAAACAAGATGTATGGTATATCTTGCGATATCAAGACAGATTCCTTCGCCATCATTCGGGCGATTCATTCGCGGGAATACCCGACTTGTTTCCCGGCCATAGTTGTGAATCAAAGTCCATGCACAACTTGCTCGACGATACGCGAAAAAATTTCGCTGCCTCGTCAGAAACGAAGAAAACAACTTCGGGCCATCCCCTCTCCCCCCTCCACGCACACAAGTCAATTTCAAATACACGTTTCAAATAAACTTTTTTTTTCTGGAGCATGTAATCATTACGACACATATTTGCACTTAGTTCCTAAATAAATAACAATAATAATGTATAATAGATAAAAAAAATGTTTAAATTTTCATTAGTGCACATATACGTTTACATGCACTAACTATTTAGTTGTTACGTGTTTTATGTTTTGAGCATTATAGTTTTAACATAATAACGAGTGCATTCTAATGTTTGAAAAGCACGCTTCTCGGCGTCAGTGTTATAAGAGCCGAGGTGAGCCATTCCGCTTCAGGTTTCTCTATCTTTCTCGCTCTTTCTTTCTCCAATAAACTGCACGTGGCGAATGAGATAATTCAAGTCACGCGCTTCTCCTCGTCGCTTTCTGGAACCGTCGCGTCGTCAAGCGCGCGCCGCTTCGCACGGCGATGAGTTTCGAAAGACGGTTGCCTGATATCACCCCACTACGTTCAGGAACGCGTCATGAGCTGATATAATGCTTGCGGGATATCCGGGAAAACGTGAAAGAATATAGTTCTTAACGGTACACAAACAGCATGCATTTTAAAACACTTCGTCAGAGTTACGCGACAAAATATGAAACGATTTAGAGACTAGGTGACAAGTCGAAAAATAGACTAATTTTAAGATTTTCTCTTAAAAATTCGAAAGAAATGGGAACATTTTCGTATGTTGTTAAATTTAAAATTTAAAAATGTGTATTATTATAATACTAAAACTTTATATTGTTACTAACTATTAACATTGGAAAGAAATTGAAGAAAAAAATTTGATTTTTCCAAACTTTATAGCCTCTAAATAATATATACGCTCCCTTATTTCAAAAATGATGACGCAATTTAAAAAATTGCTTTTTTCAAAAAGGAAGAAAACCTATTTTTCAAGTTAACAGAAAATTATATAGAATAATTAAATAATATCAGCAAAAAGAACATGTTCTTAACACAACCGAATGTCACTTTTGTCATTTTCATAACCTTTAAAACCTTCATTTTTAGTTATGACGACTTTAACAATTTTTTATGAAGTTAAGTTAGTCCACTTTTAATGATTGATAGAATAATAACTCACTTATGATAACTTGAAAATTACGTTTTTTTTTTAGTTGAGTCACTTTTAAAGTAAAAAAGCAATATGTAATTAAAAAATAAGATTTTTTACTTTTTGGTAGGTTAAGCTGAACAAATATAACGAGATTATAATTAATCCTCCTTTACTCGCGCGAAATGTTTGCCTAGAATAAACGTCGCATCTCTGCATATAATTTCCTCAGTACTGAAGTATTTGTATGCTTTCATTTAAGCAAATATTATGAAACACGGTAAAAATAATCGATGGATATTCGATGATATTCGTGTGACTGAAACAAAAGAAACGAAACTGCGAGGTGGCCAGATTGCTTAATATTTTGCCGATTGGCACGAAAGTGCTTATTATGAAGCCGATCGAGTACAAATGAGCTCATGACTCACCCTAGAGACCTTCTTCTTGGTGTAGACCTCGTCATCCTCCGAGGCCGTCGCGAAGTTCAGGTTGCCCTCGCAGTATCCAGCTCCTATACCCATTCTGTATATCTCGTCCTTGCAGGATCTACCATCCAGACTGAGAAAAGAACAAAAAATACATGATTAGTCACCAACAATATTATTGACCTAAAAACAGAAGTATAAGTTGTCGTTCAAGAAGTAACCTCGATGCTTCCATCATTTTTACACTCAAATTACATTCATAAATATATGAAAAGTAAATTATATATTTTTAATTAGAAATATATAATTATAAATATATATATATATATATTTATAAATATATTATAATTGTCTATTATATAATTATAAAAATATATAATTACAATTATAATTTATAAATAGATTTTAATTCTCTTCAATTTCAATTAGAAAGAGATAAACTATTCTAAACAATTCCTCCTTTAGTAATTATTATCTCCCATTAGAGTTAATTATAATCAAGATTTTACTTTAATTATGGAATTAAATTCCTTTCATTTCATGTTCGTAAAGAAGAAAATTACTTATGAATTAAAGAGAAAACTTTCAAAAAGAAAACAGTAAGATGCGCTTCATGTGCGTCACGACGCTATCAAGAAGTTAAATGCATCCGCTCTGCGCGATATTGCTTACGCAACCGCTCGACACGAATGTTTCAGTCAATAACCCTGTGCACGTCCCTTGCCCTGTTATAGATTTTCCGCTGTAAATAGAGTGAACGGGAAAAGCACGAGGCTCCGGCGCATTATTGATAAGCCCGGCAATGTCGTTGCTTATGAAACTTGCAGACGACACCGTTTCCCTAGTTCGTCGTACGCCACGACGCATTCCAACCCTCTCTTGTACAACGTGAATTTTTAACGGATTAAAGAGTACTCCGTCGCAGCGTTCTTCGCTATATATGTGACACAGATACGCGGTAATTTCGCTAAAACAGTCAGAAGGCCGCCAGCAACGGTAATTCACTAATAAGTCATCAGAAATCAAGTCTCATTTGATGCTTAATAATTGATTAAGGTAAGAGGATAGAGCCATGTGACAAACATTATCCTTTTAAAAAAATCGGTCAGACATTATTCTTATCACATCGTCGTGAACTAAAATAAAAGTTTTTTATTGTTATATTACAAAATATGGTTAACCACAAAATTACTATAATTACAGTGATAATTAAATTGTGATAATTAGATGGACATTTTTACGGTAATAAAAATTATAATTATAATTATTTTCGGTGCAAGCTGTATACATATATATTGTTTAATAAAACTATATGTATATAATTATTATTACTAACATTATAACAATAATAATTATAATTATGATACCATTTATATAATTATAGTTACGAATACCAAAAACTTTTTTCTTGTTATACACTCTAGAAAATATGAATGTGGATTTAACATCATGCGTTTTTATTAATTATTTATGTGACATCTATGTTGATAAAAAGCATAATATTGAATCTACATCTTTACATTTTAGAGTGTATAAATTACAGATTTACATTTTTAATAAATAAAAATAGGTAAGTGATTAATACAATCAATCAAGTCAAGATCCGTTTCGACCAAATATAGAATTTTTCTCTTATTTGCATTTTTAATATATCAATAAAACGCTTACAGCGATAAATTCTACCGCTTAGTTATTTTTAGAAAATAGTATGGAATTGGCGTCATCTCTCCCCTTATATCCATTGACTTGAACACTGAATAATATATTACTCAATGAAAATTTAATGCGATTAAGTAAAAAAAATTAATCAAAATATGATAAAATCTGTCTTGATAAACACGACTGTTTCTGAGAAATAAGTTTTATTTTTATATCCATAAAAATCGTGTTTTTAAATTAGAAACATTATTACGTCTTGTATCGGAAGACAAACAATGTCAAAAACACGACGATAAAATCGATCAATTTGAATTTTTTATATCGTCAGCTTTACTTTTTTCTAAGGTAAAAAACATATTTCTCAAAAAATTATTATATTCCGCGAGAATCTCGCAATTTTATAATGACAGGATGTTTACTAAATGCATTCGTACGAGAGTTCAAGGACGAAATTGTCAATATCGTCGATATCTCGCGAGACGAGACTGGACAGTCCTCCATCATAAAGAAATAACGCAAGATCGGACTTCTTGCGAAATTTTGACAGCTGGCGGAGCTGAAAGTTACAAATTTCTAGATAAAAATAAAAGAAGAGAAAAGTTGCGAAAATAAATAATCCAGAGAGAGAGAGAGAGAGAGAGAGAGTTTAATTTCGAGAAGATAATCGCGTGCTGTCCAAATGAAATTGCACGAGTACCGAAATCTGAACCCGGATGAAAACAAAACGTTTTCGGTTTGCGTCACGGAGGTGACGCAAAAAAAAGGGGAGGGGGGAGGGGATAAGAAAAGAGAAGAGAATAAACTGTGGACCTGCAGTTTCTCGCTGAGTGAATTGAGAGTGCCACGTGAATTGCACGGCCGCGGTCGTGCACAGCTGGAAACATTCTTTTTATCACGCGCCTCTTACGACGACGGCGCGCTTACTTACGCCGCGCGTCGAGCGGATTATAAGCGAGCGAGAGAGCCTCGTGTACCCGCACGTGGTTGACATTTTCCGGCATGTGACTAGGGCCGTCTTCTCCTCCATCCCTCTTCCCCCCCCCCTCCTCCCCCGTAACTATATTATATCTACTGCTCTCTTTCACACGCGTCGCCGCGCCGGTCACGGCAGGCACCACCTGTGTGCACCTGCGGCGTACTACGCATCCTCGTGAAACATGCTGTAACATGTTTCATCCAATGCACATACTAGCACGTGTGCCCTGAATAGGATTGCGCTGTGCAAATATGTAAGACTATAATCGCGATATTCGATATCGAAGCGACTATCGATGCCTGATGCCGCGAAGAGAAACAAGGGGATAATCACTTTATGTAATCGTGGGACAATATTTCAGAGTCCTCGAAATCATAAAGTTCATATGAAATCTCTATAATCCGATAATTACACACGCAACAATCATGAGAAATCATTGTGTATAATATTAAATAAAATATATTTTACCAAATGACTTCGTATGTGTAGTGAAAAAAATTATTTGTAATCAGATGAAATCATATGAAATTAAATGAAATTATGTAATCTGTGGGACAATATTTCAGCTAGTGATTACCCTCTCGAAGAGAAACATATATCTACAGTTTTAACTATTTTCAGTCTGCATTTGCTTAATATTTGAATTTAAATTCATTAGATCCTAATATTTAATATAATTGTTCGAGTTATAGAATTAAAATATGTAAAAAGGGAGAAAAACTTTTTACCTCTCTAAGATTCTTAAAAATTAACAATGAGAATATACAGTTTTAATTATTTTAATTCTCAATGAGAATTTAGGCAAATGAGAGTGGAGCGTAGAAATTAGAGCGCGATTAATCTTAAATGTAATTTTAGTACTTAATCTTCGAACTCCGCATGTATGAAGATTAAATATTAAAATTACATTATAAGATTAATCGCGCTCTAATTTCTGCGCTCCACTCTCATTTGCCTAAATTCTCATTGAGAATTAAAATTGTATATTCTCATTGTTAATTTTTAAGAATCTTAGAAAGGAGAAAAGTTTTTCTCCCTTTTTACATATTTTAATTCTATAATTCGAACAATTATATTAAATGTTAAGATCTAATGAATTTAAATTCAAATATTAAGTAAATACAGGCTGTTCGAGCGGCACTGAGATGTTGTTGCTAATATAATACGACTTATACAGCTCAAACAGTTCTTGTTTACTTAACATTTTAGTTCGCTTTGACAAAAATTCTTAGAATTCGTATGTACATAATAATAAAAAGGCAATCGCTTTAAATTGAATTATTTTCTATAGATATATAAAAAATTTTCATAAAATGCTTCTGTTGGTTTGAAAGAAGCATGGAATTAAAAAAAATCATGTAATTAACTCTTTCAATGTTGAATACTTTTGATGAATTAGTTGTGAATGTGCGAAATTCTCTATTGCCTATGGCGCTGAATACTTTTTACCGAGCTTTTTACTTTTACGTAAACACGTCCATAGCTTTCGCGTCTAATTCAACAGACACGTAAACACGCTCATAGCACTCACAATATTATTTGCCGGACATGTTAACACGTCGAGCACTTAAAGCATTAATTATATAATTAATGTAATAATATAGAGAAGAATTTAAGATAATCATTGCTTCCAATAAATTAGTTCATAATTTAAACTTTCAAGAATCGAGACAGAATATATTATATCTCTCATATATTGTAATAACGTGTAAAATTATAAATCAATCACAATATCACAATAAATTAAACTTTAATATTTTATTTTAATTTTAACGGTTTTTTTTTTAGGGAAAAATTTTTTGACGGAATAATTCAAACTTTCAAGAAGCGAGACAGCATGTCATATTTATAACACTTTGTAACTGCAATTATGTATAATATCAACAGATGTCAATAACTTGACAATATCGAACAAAAATTTAAAATAAAATGTACCGTCAAATAAACTAAAACAGTAATGTTAAAATATCAACTAAAACAATAATGTTAAAATATCAAAGTATCAAGAAGAAAGTATGGTACTTTGTCATTATCGTCACTCTTTCTTAAGTATGATACGCCTACACGCATATGATACGCCTGCACGTTACGACGTTGCCCGTGCATCCTACACGATGATAAAGTGAAACGTCGTGATTTCGTAATGTGATTCCGTGTTACTCCATTAATAGCGGCAGCAATTACACGAGGCCGTCCGTCGGTCGCCGGAGAATATCCGGAATTTTCTGACTGTGCGCAGTGAACGAACGACGTCGACGATGACGCAACAACGTGATGCACGTGGAGATGACTTCGATCCGGTGGACTGTCCTTACCGGAGCCCTTGCTGTCCTTCCCAAGTGGTGAAGTGACTAACATTATTACGTAATGTCCCACATACATATGTAACGTGAGGATCCCTTCACCTTTCTTTTCTTCGAATCTCTACCACATGGAAAGAAAGGTTTTATTGAAGTATCCAAGAATTTAATTAGAGATACAAATCTGAAAATAATTCT